GCAGAAAAGTAACACTTCCCTGGTGTGAAGACCTCTTACTGAGAAGTTTAGTTCACTACTGTTCTCGCAAACCTAATCGTGTAGCCTGTAACCAAAACCCACAGAACAAGGATAAAACACGCTAAAGAGTAACTCATAATCACTAAATGTTTGCACCATTACCTGCTGTTAGGAAGGGATTACAGAGGAGTTGGCTCAGGCGAGGGCGGGCCTTACTCCTTATAGGACCTCAGCAAACACCTGGATGCCCCTGCGCGGGGTCCCCTCTCCCAAACATCACGGAGTCAGGGACTCCCTGAGCATCTGCTGGAAGAGAGCTTTAGTGAGAGGTCCATGCTGGGTGCCCTTCAAGGACCCCCAGTTCTGGGAGCCAAGAGTGATTTTTCGGTAGAAACGACCTGCCCTCTAATCAGCGAGTAACAACAGAAAAAGAGCGAAACACCAAAAGCGAGGAGGAGTCCTGAAGACAATGCAACACTCCCAAATGGAAAAAGTAATGTGCTGCTCCCTGCTCGAACACAATAGTCTGTGGAGCCTTGGTTATTAATTACAACTAGAAATTGAATAATCTAATTCATTTTCTAAGCAATTCCTCCACTGAAACTGCTCACTTTTTACAAGGTCTGTCCTCTTTTTGCGGGAGGGGGGAAGACTATGGACAGAGAAGGAAAGTTTACCACTATATATGCCAGAAAATTACATTTGCTCTGACATAGGCTTTGATTCATTAACATTGTACATTTATAAAAGTCTGTGTGTGAGAGATCAAAATTAAGCTGATGGTGAGAAAATATTTGAATGATAAATAATTTGTTTCAGATCTAAGACGACTGGATGCCCTGTCTTCTCACAATAATCACCGAGACTGAGTGAGATGGAAATACAGAGTTAGCGCTTCATGTGTTTAAGAAAGAAGCCCGAAGTAGACATGGGCAGTCCTTCACATCAAATTTGCACCCAAATATCCAGTATGATATACAAAGCTTGATCTAGGTACTTTCAACTTGCAAAATGCCGGTCCAAGAACTGCCCCCCCTTCATTTCATCTAGTAGCAGTTTTAAAAAGAAGCCATTGCTGAGACAAATGTGGGCTGCTGAGTAAACAGTGCATGTTTTGTTGAACAAGCCTACTCCCACACCTATATATGGCACTCTGTCTCACTACAAAGTCCAATTAAAATTATTAACAAGAATTCAAACTCACTTCACCCAAAATTTCAAATAACCTTTTTCACAAGAAAGACTAGATCTTTAATATAGTAAACTGTAATCTATTTATTCCTACACAATATCCTATTTTGGAAGATTTGTATTCATGCAATCTTTAAAATAATATAACATATTCTTAATTTGCATGCAGAACATTTTTCCAGTCAATATAAGTTCCTGGCACATAAAATCAGATTATTACAGCTCTCATTAGCAGACTTCAGTTTTTGCTATTTGAAAGTAAACAGAAGAGAAACTTATTTCCACCTGCTAAAATTTCATGCAGCAATACAAAAACAATGCACACTCAGCTTTGACCTAAGAAACACCTTAAAATATTAAAAATTCATCAGTCAGTGCTGGTGTTGTATTCAAGGAATGCTCCTCCAGTTTGCTGCTGAGCTTGGATTTGAATAAAATGCCCAATGTTAACAAACAATACCCACGTTTGGCACTTTGTGTATTAAATTGATCAAACAGATTTTAGGAAGCACAATGCACAATTTGTACAGACCTGATTGAGTTAATATAATATCAGCAAATTTTACATCGAAATGATTCTGTTTCTTTTCTTTGTGTTTAAAACCAGCACAGATTACAAATTTTAATGATCTGAAAATGTTTGGTATACAAAATCATGCTTATTTCAGTATTAGCAAAAACACAAGAAATTTTTCAACACAAACACCCAGCTGTGTCTATTTTAAAAGCAGTTCAATGACAGCTTGCACTTATGAGCATGCAATCAGCTAATTTCGCTTTTTTTTTTCTTCTGTGTTAATCAACACTTTCCTTCCTGCATATCAGAGTACAAATAGTATAGTTACTCCACATCAGTAAATGTTTACGTAACCTGTCCTTTCCCAAGAATCCGGTTACACCGAATCATTTCACGCTAGACCGACTACGAAAACGTACCGGGCCGTCCACCTCAGAGGGAGCCCTTGTGTGCCATTATAAGTGGCAATGGGAAGGGGGGCTGTGGGGGGGAGGAATGGAGTGAGGCAGAGGAACAGAGGAAGGAGACGGGGTGGGGAAGTGTGGGGGGAGGTGGCAGAGCGGAGGGGGGAGGAAAACCAGTAGAGGAAGACTAGGAATAACAGGCCTCAGGAGGGAAACCGGGAGGAGGTAAAGGGAGCGGAGAGAGGAAGGCCCAGAGATCTCTTCAGCCCGGCCCGAAAAGCCCGTCCCCTCACCCGGCTCTGGGAGGAATCTGAGCTTCGAAGTCAGTGTTGGGGGCCATGTCACCATCGACGTTGGGAGGTGAAGCCCTTGAATTTTCCCACACGTAAATATAATTGATTTTAAAGTAAGAAAATGTGTAGAAGGAGGGGGTGATACGTACATACAGTGGAAGGACAGTTGAGGTTAGTCCAGCGTTCAAAGCTCTGATAGAAACCATTTTAACAATCACTAGCTATTTTGTAATTGTCTATTTTTCTCTGCAGAGTTTATTCTCTCAGAATGTCCAGGCGAGGGTGGGGGCGGGAAGAGTGGAATAACTCCCTCTTCACCTGAGTATTCATCGACTGCATTCTTCACAGTGGGGTTGAAGTGTAACGTCATACATAGGCACCGATTTCCCTTCCTTCGTTTTCTTAAATACCACACCTGCCAGATAACTTGAGTTTGTCACAGCGAAGGAATGTTTACATATTATTATTTACCTTATAGAGGAGGGAAAAAAAGGGCGCTTTTATTTATGCTTCTCCTCCACCTCCCTCTTCTCTCGGGGCTACACCCTCCGTGAAGTGCGGGCGCTGCACCGCGCTGCGCGCCCAGTGGGGATGAAGCGGCCTTTGATCAGCGGTCTCCGCACCGAATTCCGATCCCCGGGAAATGCGGGGCTGTAGCCCTGCCCCCGGCCACGGGGTCCCTTTAAAGCCCCCGAGGCACAAGCCCCGCTCTCACTTCAGCCCTCGGCGAGCCGTCCCACTGCTGACGCCGGAGAAGCTGGGACGGCGGGCGCACGCCCCCAGGCCCCTCGGCGCCTTCCAGCGGCCACCGCGTGGGAAAGGGTGGCTTCCGCCCGCGGATGGCTCAGCAGTAAGGCTTGCACACATTAAAAGCATCTCAGACACGGGAAGGAAAAATAGGGAGTGAAAATAGGAAGTCTTTAAAAAACGGAAAGCAACAGACGCCCACCCTGACGGTCCCTCCACTGTTAACAAGCAATATGAAAACATTTCCAGGGTGATCACTCGAGGCTACTCGCCTCCAACTTGGATTAAAAACTGAGAAGCTGGAGCGGCGAGGAGAGAACGACCCGTCACCCAAGCGCGTGAGCCTCGGGCTGCGGCGGGGCCGAGGGAAAGGAAGAGACGCACGTACACGGCATGTGTTACCTGGTTTATTTCGAGACTGTGTGGCACTGCTCTCCCTCTGAGCACCCCTGACTTCGGGAGGCCCCCACAGGAGCCCGCCACTGAGCCGCCCCCGCCCGCCGCCTCCGCCGCGGCGCCGCGAGCCCCGGGCCCGGCTCCCCGGCGGAGCCCAAGCCTCGAGTCCCAGGCTCGCCGCCGCCCAGGCCCCGAGAACCGAGTAAGTAACCCCTGCTTTGCCCCGCACACGCCAGGCCACGTCCTCCTCCCCGTCCCGTCGTTTCCGACCCTCTCCCAGACCCTCCTCCCCCCAAGGTGGAGGGCACCCCTCCCGCGCCAGGGGTGGGCCTCCCCTGCCCGGCCGTCCAGAGCCGGGCTAGAGTGTTACCCACACGGGGCACAGTTTTCCTAAGGACGCGGAAAGGCCGGCCGGCCTGCAGGGCCGACTGGGGGAAGTAGTACCTCGCTTCTTCCTCCTCCATTTCCTGCCCTTTCCTTACGTCCTCTCCCCGCACTCCTACACGTCTCTCCACCGCTACCGCCGCCCCCGCTTTTAAAAATAAAATTGGATACAAACTTTGATCAATAAGGACAAATACTGACGTTCAAAGGAAAATGACCCAAGAGACAGTGAGAAGGGCGGCGGAAATGTGAGATATCTGCCCTACGAAGGGGATTTCGGCTGAGCTGCCCCGCGGAATGGAGGGGGCGCAGGGGGCGCAGATAAGGGCCGCGGCGCAGCGTGCTCCCACCGGCATATCCCTACGCCGCTCCGCAAGGCCGGGGCCCACGGAGAGGGGGAGGTGAGCGCCCGAGGGGGCGGGAGCCGGCGGGCGGGGCGTGGGTGGGTGGGCCCAGGCCCGCTGATTGGTCGACGGCGGGAGAGACGCACCCGCACGCCGCCGGCTCTGATTGGCCCAGCGGTAGGAAAGGTTAAACCAAAAATTTTTTTACAGCCCTAGTGTGCGCCTGTAGCTCGGAAAATTAATTGTGGCTATAGCCGCCTCGATCGCTGTCTCCCCAGCCTCGCCGCGGCCGCTCCGGGACGCGCCCGCCCGCCGCCCGGCTCTCCCCCCCTTTGGGCTGCTGCTGCTGCTGCTGCTGTGACTGCTGCTGCGAGAGGAGGAGGAGGAGGAAGCAGCGGGGGGGGGAGCGGGGGGTGGGGGGGAGACCAAGAAGTAGAGTTGGGAGCGAGGGAGCTTCACCCCCGGGGCGGTGGTTGTTTCTTTTTTTCTCTTTCTTTCTTTTTTTCTTTTCCTTTTTTCCCCTTCTAATTCCTGAGGGGTGGTTGCTGCTTTTGCTACATGACTTGCCAGCGCCGGAGCCTGCGGTCCAACTGCGCTGCTGCTGGAGCGCTCAGTGCCGCTGCCCGCGCCGCCCGCGCCCAGCTCGACACCCACCGGTCGCTGCCGCCCGCCGCGCCGCTGCCCCGCTCCTGCGCCTCCGCAGCTGTCCCTCGACGACTGGGTGATGCTGGACATGGGAGATAGGAAAGAGGTGAAAATGATCCCCAAGTCCTCGTTCAGCATCAACAGCCTGGTACCAGAAGCGGTCCAAAACGACAACCACCACGCGAGCCACGGCCACCACAACAGCCACCACCCCCAGCACCACCACCACCATCACCACCACCACCACCACCCGCCGCCGCCGCCGCCCGCTCCGCAACCGCCTCCGCCGCCGCCGCAGCAGCCGCCGCCTCCCCAGGCACCGCAGCCCCCTCAGGCGCGGGGCGCCCCTGGCACAGACGACGACAAGGGCCCCCAGCAGCTGCTGCTCCCGCCTCCGCCGCAGTCTTCGGCCGCAGCCCTGGACGGGGCCAAATCTGACGGGCTGGGCGGCAAGGGAGAGCCGGGCGGCGGGGCCGGGGAGCTGGCCCCTGTCGGGCCGGACGAGAAGGAAAAGGGCTCCAGCACCGGGGGGGAGGAGAAGAAGGGGGCGGGCGAGGGCGGCAAGGACGGGGAGGGGGGCAAGGAGGGCGAGAAGAAGAACGGCAAGTACGAGAAGCCGCCGTTCAGCTACAACGCGCTCATCATGATGGCCATCCGGCAGAGCCCGGAGAAGCGGCTCACGCTCAACGGCATCTACGAGTTCATCATGAAGAACTTCCCCTACTACCGTGAGAACAAGCAGGGCTGGCAGAACTCCATCCGCCACAACCTGTCTCTCAACAAGTGCTTCGTGAAGGTGCCGCGCCACTACGACGACCCGGGCAAGGGCAACTACTGGATGCTGGACCCCTCGAGCGACGATGTGTTCATCGGCGGCACCACGGGCAAGCTGCGGCGCCGCTCCACCACGTCGCGGGCCAAGCTGGCCTTCAAACGCGGGGCGCGCCTCACCTCCACCGGCCTCACCTTCATGGACCGCGCCGGCTCCCTCTACTGGCCCATGTCGCCCTTCCTGTCCCTGCACCACCCCCGCGCCAGCAGCACTTTGAGTTACAACGGCACCACATCGGCCTACCCCAGCCACCCCATGCCCTACAGCTCCGTGTTGACTCAGAACTCCCTGGGCAACAACCACTCCTTCTCCACGGCCAACGGCCTGAGCGTGGACCGGCTGGTCAACGGGGAGATCCCGTACGCCACGCACCACCTCACGGCCGCCGCGCTCGCGGCCTCAGTGCCCTGCGGCCTGTCGGTGCCCTGCTCTGGGACCTACTCCCTCAACCCCTGCTCAGTCAACCTGCTTGCGGGCCAGACCAGTTACTTTTTCCCCCACGTCCCGCACCCGTCAATGACTTCGCAGAGCAGCACGTCCATGAGCGCCCGCGCTGCGTCCTCCTCCACGTCTCCGCAGGCTCCCTCGACCCTGCCCTGTGAGTCTTTAAGACCCTCTTTGCCAAGTTTCACGACGGGACTGTCCGGGGGACTGTCTGATTATTTCACACATCAAAATCAGGGGTCTTCTTCCAACCCTTTAATACATTAACATCCCTGGGACCAGACTGTAAGTGAACGTTTTACACACATTTGCATTGTAAATGATAATTAAAAAATAAGTCCAGGTATTTTTTATTAAGCCCCCCCCCCAATTCTGTACGTTTGTTCAGTCTTTAGGGTTGTTTATTATTCTAACAAGGTGTGGAGTGTCAGCGAGGTGCAATGTGGGGAGAATACATTGTAGAATATAAGGTTTGGAAGTCAAAATTATAGTAGAATGTGTATCTACATAGTGACTGTTTTGCCATTTCATTCAAACCTGACAAGTCTGTAAGAGCCGCCAAATTTCCATGTGTGCAGTATTATAAGTTATCATGGATCTAAATGGTGGATGCAGACCTTGAGAACAACCTAAATTATGGGGAGAGTTTTTAAATGTTAAACTGTAATTTGTATTTAAGACGCATTCGTAGTAAAGGTGCCCAAGAAATTATTTTGGCCATTTATTGTTTTGTCCTTTTCTTTTAAAAACTGTTTTTTCTTTTGTTTACTTTTAGACCAAAGATTGGGTTCTAGAAAATGCACTTGGTATACTAAGTATTAAAAAACAAACAAACAAAAAAGTGAAAGTTGTTTCAGTTGGCAGCACTGCCCATTCAAATGAATTGGAAGGGGACAAAATTAATGATTGCCTTCAGTTTGTGTTGTGTATATTTTGATGTATGTGGTCACTAACAGGTCACTTTTATTTTTTCTAAATGTAGTGAAATGTTAATACCTATTGTACTTATAGGTAAACCTTGCAAATATGTAACCTGTGTTGCGCAAATGCCGCATAAATTTGAGTGATTGTTAATGTTGTCTTAAAATTTCTTGATTGTGATACTGTGGTCATATGCCCGTGTTTGTCACTTACAAAAATGTTTACTATGAACACACAGAAATAAAAAATAGGCTAAATTCATATATATCTTGATACTTTTGTCTCTTTTATTAAGTAGAGCTAATTTTTAAAAGATCATTTAAGTTCTAGGGAATTCAAAGGCTTTTTCAGCCACTAAAATTTAATCTGCTCCTTTCACTTGAACTAAGACTTTAAAAATGAAAATATTTTTTTTTCATTGTGGAATTACATTTTACCAGGAGCAGACCAATTATTAATAAACACTAGCTTTAAACAAAATATAGGCTTTTCAGCTTATATCTTTAAGTTTCTGTAGATACTAAAAGTATACATAATTTAATGTACATAGTTACTTGTGTTTATTTTCAAATCAGTCAATAGAATGCTTTTCATATATTTTGTTTCAGATATCTTGTTTATACCACTTGGCAAGCTATAAATAAATGTATATGGTTAGATAGAAGTGGATATATTGCACACATATGTAATATATATAAACACAGAGTCCTTCAGTTCAGGTAAAATTTGCGCTCTGAATGCTGCAAATATTTTTGTTTCAATATTTGTATTTATACTAAGTCAGCATTTATTTTGGTGGCTGTTTACCCACAATGGAAGAGTTCTAATAAAGATGTGCTGAAGTTGGAATATAGATTTTGCTTAAGTGATCACCTGTTGTAATGACTTGCAGATCAATGTTTATATTTTATTTTTAAATTATAACAATTTAAAATTCCAGCTGTTCAGAAGCAGTCAAATGCCTTTCTCATTTTCTTTCATACTTTACAATGTAGAGGTATTTATTTCATTCCCTTTTAGATAATTCTGTAAAATCTAGAGATTTGTTTCTTTTGCTTACAGTCATAATTTTAACTTGCAATATACATATGCATAAATGTATATGCATATATATATGTATATATATAAAAAAATCTGAAACAAAATGGAAACATTTTTGAATTGCTTCAGCAGTCCAATTGCTATGACTCCAGAAAATAATTAGAAAACCTAAGTAAAAGGTTTAGTAACTAATTGGATCCTGTGGTGAGTCCGTGGAGGACAAGTTGTTCATTTGTTACAATTGTATAGTCTGAAATGTGTTCTGCAGTAATGCAATAAGCTGGCTCCTTCTTACAATGGGCCCAATGAAAAATAATCTGTCCCCAAGATGTTATCGGCAAACACTTAGAGAGTTGCTCAGGAGAAAAAAAAAGCCTAGGAGAGAAGCAAGGGTGACTCACATAGATTTGGAATAGAAATACAGAACAATTAATATTGGAATAAGGAGACAGGTGAGTTGTGAATGGAGAGATAGAAGTAGAGAATGAGGAGAGGAAAGGGAAAAAAGGATATTTTAGATGCAAAAAATGTACTACTACCAAAAAGAAAGAAGGAGAAAAAGGAGAGAGGGAGAGAAAAGAGAGAGAGAGAAATCTAAGACAGAAAGATAAGCTCCAGGAATATTGAAAGAGTTGGAACCAAATATATACAAATAGGAAATGGACCAAACCTACTAAGACAGCTAGTTTATTTACTTCTTTAAGCAGACTGAACATGATTTTATTTTCTTGGTATGAGAGCAGTTCTTGAAATTTAACAGTTCTTTAGAATGAAGCATGAAAGAAAATTCTACAAATAAATTGTTTTAGAAGCCAAATTTATTGCTGATATTAAAAATTGTGAGAGTCTACTGAATGAGATTAGGCAAAGGAGGTACTAACATATTTGTGAACAAAAACAGCTCAAAGAAAAACGTGTGTTTAGACTGAAAAAGGTGAAGATGTGTTTTTTGCTTTTATCTTGGATTTTATATGTGGAATGAGAATGTACTGGCACATAAGAATATAGTGTTTTCCCAATCAAAAGTTGAAAAGAAAGTTGAACTCTTATACTGCGTTAAAAGGAAATACACGTGAAAAGAAAATTTCTCCCTTGAGTATTTTTGGCTATATTAAGTAGCTATATTTAACATTATTTTTGATAAATGTTGATTTGCATGATGGAAAAATCAAATTTCAATGGCAAATGTTTGAGGTCAAGATCAAAACTGGCTTATTTAAATTCATAGGAACTAAGAATTGGAGTGAAAATTCTGCTCGGAAACTTGTCCAAGTTACATATATAATGGATGTGATTAGAAGTAAAAAATAGCTTTTGTTTAATAGGCTGACTAGATACAAAGGGGGACAGAGAGAGAGAAATTCGTGAAGGTCTCCTGCAGCCCAATATGAACATTTCATATACCTCAATCTGTCCTATCATCCTTCAAATTATCTTCTTCAACAAACATGACAGTTTTGCATGGCATTTCATAGATTTTGCAGCAAATTGGTTGTGATATGGTGTTAGATATTTATTGCCACTACCAACCTTTGCCAGTTAAAATTAGACTATGCCAGAAAAACACTTCAAAACTTTTTGAAGTGTTTCTTCTTTCATACTTATAACTTTTTTTAATGAGATCAAAGTTGCTCTTTTTTGAGATTTTGGAACTCAACATGATTACAATTTATAACTTAAAATCCAAAATTATAGTTTATTTCCAGGTTTAACAAATTTTATGTGAATTCATCTGGTATAAGTTAATACATAAAACATTGCAAAAATGATTTAGGTAGAGCAGGAAGGTGTTCTTCCAAATATGTTTTCTCAACTAGATACAAAATTCACTGGAAATCAAGTGAACATGAAGTCCAGAACCAACAAGATTTAATACAAATACCTTTATGATTATGGAAGACTTCATGTGGTTTCTATGATTTACATAAAATTAAGGGTAGAGGAAAATAATGTAGTGTATTACTTATATATATTTAAGTTGGACATTTTACCCAAATAGATGGATAAATTGAATATATTTAGAACTCTAAATATATAAATGTGGTTTCTAAAAATTGTACTGTCTACAACATTGTTGAGAAATTTGCATGCATTGAAGTAATTTCGCTTTTGAGATATTAATTTTATGAATAGCTAATGTGTCTGGGACTAAATGACTGTTGGAGAAATAGGCTAACAAAGGGTGAAGGTGAAGATCATTAGACGTTTTGGAACCGTCTAAGACGGGTTGCTGGGGTTGTGTAACTGTGCCTAGAGGGCGGGGTTCCTGTACATTCCTACTTCACCAGATAACCTGCCCCCAACACCACTTCAGCTTCTGCCAGACAGATGGAACTCTCCAACATGAAAATCTGCTCAGCCATTCCAACAAGCAGGGTAGGTGAAACTTGAATTAAAATTCTACCCTCTTTTTTTTTTCCTACTTGAGGCTAGATCCTGAAGATATGGAAAGAATAGGGGTCATCTAGATTCTCCCCTCACGCAGCGTACGAGCGCATCTGCATTCTCTCTAAGAGCCACCTACCTGTAAGAGTTCAAAGACATTATCTTTCACAATACTTCGTTCTTGATGTTTTTTGGCATGCCTTTTTTTTTTTTCTTTTAAGTTTCTGTTTTCTAATCCCAGTCATTCTCCCCAGTCCCTCTTCAGGGCTTCCCCTCCCCCCAACCACCAGCAGTTAAAATAATCCACCTCTTAGTTTTCCGCCCCCAAACCGACCTTTTCCCCACTGTAGCGGCCGTTCGTTGGGACCTTGTCCTGAGGATGTAGGCCAAGGTAGCTCCGGGTAATATGTGATGTACTGTTATGTTTTTAGTCTATTTTCTCCCTTCCGATTTGTGTGTTTTTTCCCTCCACCCAAGACTGCCTGAGGTTGTCTCAAGGAGGCCGAAGAAAAAGACTTGTGGTCTGGGAGCGCTCTTACCCCAAATTGGTAAGTGAAAGTGATTTTCGGAGGGGAGGAGGGGCCATACCTGACTGCTTTTGACTGAGGCTTAAACCACGATTTTGAGATCCAGGTCTAAAGTGCTCTGCTTTGCTTTTCCTTTCTTTTCTTTTTTCCTTTCCTTTCCTTTCCTTTCCTTTCCTTTCCTTTCCTTTCCTTTCCTTTCCTTTCCTTTCCTTTCCTTTCCTTTCCTTTCCTTTCTTTCTTTTTCTTTCTTTCTTTCTTTTTTTTTTAAATTTCCTTTGCGGGGTGTGCTATCATGGAAGTAGCTGAGAGATACATGCATTTCATCCATGTCAGCAGAAACTCACACTGCATCCTTAAGTAAAGTGGATGTAGACATGGCCAAGGGGACATGGA